CAGCCTTTATTGTGGGCATGCCTCGCGGGGAGCCGAGGGGATGGAAGCGGCAGCAGCTTCCGCATACCAAGCAACCCCCTCTCAAGGACAGGGTCCTGCTGCTCCTCCTGCCAGTACCCACCCTCCAGCCCCCACAGGGAACCTGCAGCTTGACCTGGGAAAGCCCTGGGGGGCTGGGGTGGTGAGATGGGCACAGACTCCCAGCATCCCTGCATGGGGATCCCATGGGACGTAGCTCTCTAAATCCATGCACAAGGGTCCTGCAGAGTACAGCCCCCCCCCCAAATCCTTGCATGGGGGTCCCAGAGAGGGTACAACCCCCTGGAAACTCTGCATGGGGGTCCCACAGAACACAGTCCCTCAAATTCCTGGAGTCCTGCAGGACACAGCCCCCCAAATCCCTGTATAGGGGTCCCACAGAGAAGAGCCCCCCACACCCCTGCATAGGGGTCCCACAGGGTACAACCCCTGGAATCCCCACACTGAGATCCTGCAGTTCACCATCACCCCTGACAGCCCACCATGGGGGTCCTTGGAGAATGCCCCCACCCAGCACCCCCACATAGGGGTCCCTCGGGTCATGGCTGCTCCCAGCATCCCCATGAGAGACCCTTGGGTACAGGTCTGTCCCAGATGGTGCCACCCCCACCTGGGAAACTCCCACAAGGCACAGTCTTTCCAGCATCCCCCTACTGGGGGGCCCAAGGGCATGGTCCCCAATGCCCCAGGCACCACCGTGGGTTCTCCGGTGGGGCCGTGCTCCGTGGGCCCTCGTGGGTCCAGGGTGCTCGTGCAAGGACGGGGTGCAGGGTGCGGTGGGGGCAGGGCAGGCAGCAACGCAGGGGGGAGGGGAGCGGCGAGGTCGATGCTTTTGCTCAGCTTCTTGCCAAGCAGTTTCTCCGAGAAGCCATAAAACCTGTCTGACGTGCCCAGCACCACTGCGGCAACGCCTGCGCGGGGAGGGGGCTGGGGGGGCGGCTGCTGGGCGCCCTGCAGGGAGCTCAGCCTCAGCTAGGACCCCCGAGGTGGGGAGCAGGGGGGTGGCACATATGGTGCAGGGGGCAGGAGATGCTGTAGGAGCCTCGAGCAACTGGGGAGCTGTGACCCAGCTGTGCCACCCGGGTGTCCCATCGGCTGAGAGCAAGACCCTAATTGTGGCCACTGCAGCCCCCCTGCTTCACAGTGCACCCATATGCAGTGGGTAGATGGGCAGACGGAGTCGGAACCAGGGCCCCACAGGCAGCCCAAGGGCAGCAGAAGGATCCAGGAGCCCGCCCAGAGGCTCTGGGTGAAGGACTCCCCAACCCACTGCCCCCTTGCCCCTCGCCCATCCCAGGCGCCAGTGGCTGGCTCTGGGTCCCACTGCCAGGTGCTAATTGCAGGCAGCTCAGCTGTAATTAAAGCTCTCCCTGTGACATGAGCCAATGTCTCAATATCAAATCGCTGCAATTAAACCCCCAGTCTTAAAGCTCATGGTGAGAAGTGCAGGGACCCCTGGGGAGTGGCTGCCCACCCTCCCCCTCCTCCGGTGACCCAGCATCATCCCTGTGGGGACAGAGATTGTGGGTAGGTAGGGACAGGCAGGAGGGGATGGGGAGCAGAAGGACACAGTCAGGAGGGGACAGTGGGCAGGTGAGGATGGGAAGGAGGGGACAGTGGGCAAGTAGAGATGCCAAGCAGGTGGGGACAGTGGGCAGGAGGGTACCATAGGCAAGAGGGGACAGGCAGAAAGGGCCCATGGGCAGCATGAGGCCAGGGGTGGGGGCTGCACAGCCCGAGGGCACAGCTGTCTTGCAAACACTGTATTGCTCGGCTCAGTCACTACCAGGGATTGAAACCAAACGGTGGGGCCGGTGACGGCACACGGAGGGCAGTGTGTGGCACACGGAGGGCGGTGTGTGGCACACGGAGGGCGGTGTGTGGCACACGGAGGGCGGTGTGTGGCACACGGAGGGCAGTGGGTGGCACACGCAGCGTGGCGGCACATGGAGAGCGTCTTTCCAGAAGACAGATCGGTGTGTCCTCACCGGAGGACAAAGCAGTGGAGGGGCCCTGCTCCAGGACCTGGGGGTCCCTTGGCCCCGTGGGGCGGTGGGTCCATGGGGAAAGGCACGAGATGAGGTGACAGCCCCAGGGCAGAGCAGGTGCCCTGGGGCTGCAGGGAGCCCAGCACCGGGGCCGGTGTGCGATGCCGGTGGGGAGCCAGGGCCCTGGGAGGGAGAGAACCCGCTCAGGGGGTGCTGGGGTGCAGCAAAGGGGGGGACCAGCCCCCGAGGACACCCACTGCCCCAGAGTCCACCATGTCCCCTCACCTTTGAGCCCTGAGCTCCTGGCTCCAGCTCAGCTCTGTGGGAGTCCGGCAGGCGAGTTGTGGCCCAGGGCTGCCCCGTGGGAGGGGATGGTGGTGGAGGAAGAGTGAGGGAGTGGGCAGGGGGCAGCAGAGCCCATCCCTCCACCACGGGCAGCACTGAGGGTCAGATCCAGAGCAGAGTGAGGAGCACAAGCACCAGGCACAGGGCACGGGGCTGCAGCGAAGCTGTGATGCCCCGGGCGGGCACTGCATCTGTCAGTGCAGGGACAGGGGTGGGAGTGAGCCGACCCCCATCCCCCAGCTCTCAGGGCTCTGTCCTGCAGCC